AATTGGAAGCTTAGTTTTTGGTGGTTGTTGTAGCAATGTAATATTTTTAGAATTAATAATTGGGTTAGTAGTATATCTAAATGAAGATTTCTTTTTTGTTTTTATTGTTTTATTGATTGAAATTATTGATTTATTTTCCCATCTTTTAAAAGTGATGCACCTAAAAGTGGCAAGTATCAGAACATTAATTTTAATTATTTTATATGATTGATCAATTTTAATTTTAAACTAATATTTTTTGTGCTTTTTTTATTTTTTTTTTTAGGAAAATTAATTACATTTGTTCAATTTTTGTTAATTTCTTTTGAAGGATTACTATACAATCTCCAAGTTTCGCCATCATCATCATCATCATCCACATTAATTCCACGTTTAAAACCACGTTCTATACCAATATATCGTTGGTTTATCTTAGTAATAATGTTTTTTACCGTATCGATCTTAAATAATGCTGCATTAGGCTATGAAATATCTTTGCCATTTCATATCATTTTCCGAAGTGGTGGATTAATAGTTAGTATGATTTTAGGTTGGGCTTTAGTTGGTAAAAGGTTTGTTTTAATTCAATCAATCCCTCTTCTCACAACTGCTGCCGATCTAATGAAGCTGTCATCTTATCATAGATATGCGCTCACACAAATTGTGGCAGTAATCATGATAACTTTTGGTGTTGTATTCGCTACATTAAGTTCTGCAAACAACCAATTAGTGGTAACAAATAATTTACATTTTACTTAATTTTAAAAACTATTTTTACAAATCACGGATTTATCTGAAATATGACAAGATGTCACATTTCATTATCATCATAAAATAGGAAGATAAAAATTCTGGTTTTACAGCCGACTATATATTTGGAATAATGATTCTTACAGTTGCATTGGTACTATCTTCCTTTATGCGTTTATATCAAGAAATGAACAGATCAAATGATTGGCGCGAAGGATTATTTTATACCGTAGGTGAAATCATTTTATTGTTGTTATTATATTAATTATCTCATTTCTAATTAAATTAATTAATCAATTAATTAATTTATATTAGCATTTTCTTGCGCTTCCTTTATTCTTAATATTTTATGATGACATAAAAAGTCAAGCTTTATTATTAAATGAATCTCCTCATGTGTCATTAGAGGAAATTGTCAATGATTTCTCTGGTGGTAAAATTTTTGCATCTTCCGATGTAATCCATAATGCTTTATCTTATTGCACTTTGCCAAGAACTTGGCTATACTTGATCATGAACGTGCTTACACAGTAAGTAAAGAAATAAATATTTTATTTCTTTATTCAACTATTTTTTTTTTTTTTAACTTCATATTTATAACACAATTCATTGTTTTTTAGATATCTTTGTATATCAGGAGTTCATCGACTTCACTCTGTTTCATCAGCATTAACTGTAAACCTTGTGCTAAATCTTCGTAAATTTATCTCCCTGGTTTTGTCAGTCTTGTTTTTTGATAACGATTTTCATATTGGTATGGGTATAGGAGGTGCTTGTGTGTTTATAGGAACTATTTTATATTCAATTGGAAGTGCCGGTGGTGATAGGTCAAGTAGTTTAAAGAAAGTTGATGATGAAATCGTTGTTAATGAATATTTGAAAAACAATTCAAGGAAATCAGAAATTACAAATTTAAAAAAAAGGAAAAAAGTTAAATAGAGTAATATTTTGATATTAGAATTTTTTTTTTTTATATATAAAAAATATAATTTAATAAAGACATATTTTTATTAAAATAACCTTTATTCTTTCAACATAATACTACCGCTACTATCCTATCAATTGCCCAAACCCAACCTGTTCTCTTCTAAAATGACCGAAACTAACTAATTAAATTGACGCAGATTAAGCCCTCCATAGTATTTTCATTTTGCACCTACTTTTTAATATGTTGACAACCCTTCCTGCTGCATAAGAATTCAAGCGCAAATCATAAAAATATCATTGTTTTCTGTTTGCAAATATTGATATGATAATAATGATAAAATTTTACCACCAGAGAAATCATTGACAATTTCCTCTAATGACACATGAGGAGATTCATTTAATAA